TGTTTATTTTAATAAGTTATAGGGATGAAAAAAAAAACAAAATTTAGTGTGATTTTTAATTTCAAATATCTCATTAAAAAAACATTTTGTTTATTCTAAGGGACCTTCGGCCCTCGGTAATAATGTAATCTTTCATTCTGCATTTAAATTTTTCAAAAATATTTGTTAGTTTTCTCAGGATTCCAAAAAAATTTAAATTTTTTTGAATGCTAAAAAGCATTTAAAATTTTTAATTTTCATAAACAAGTAACTATGATTGTTTAAAAGTAGTTTCAAGTAAGATAGTACCTACATAAACAAACATAACGGCTATTATCGTTTATGTGTATATCTTTTGAAGTGAAAGAAACTACCTAATGATATATTTATTATAACTTGAAAAATAAACTAAACAATCATCATCATCATATAACGGGGGTCCTACGGCGATTGCCGCTTCCCGCATTTCAGCCTCCATCTTTTCCTATCTCCCCAATCTCCCTCTTCTAAGCCTCTAGATTGCATTGTTTTTGTAATTTCTCTTCTCCAGGAATTTGGTGGTCTTCCCCTTTTCCTTCTTTCTGGCGGAACATACATTAAGGCTTTCTTTGGCCACCGCTCCTCCTCCATTCTCATCACGTGACCATACCATTGTAATTGCCTTCCTTGTATTCTATCTGAAAGAGTATCTCTAATTCCTGTACGGTTTCGTATTTCCTCATTCCTGATTCTTTCCATTCTCGATACTCGACATGACCTTCTAAGATAATCCATTTCCACAACGTCTACTTTATCTCGTTCATTCTTTGTCATCGTCCAACATTCGGCACCATATGTGGTAATTGGTTCTACAATTGCTCTGTATACGCGAAGTTTGGTATGCATCTTTATTTTATTAGACCACAGTAATGAATTCAGTATTCGGATGCATTTTTTCCCTTGGGTTATTCGGTTTTGTACATCTATCTTAACTCTGCCATCTGCTGATATGATGCTTCTGCTAAATCTTTTTGCTAAACCCGATATTAGTAATTGTACTATGTCATATACTATGGATGTAAGTATGCCGTTTGCTAAAATTTTATTGCAAGATTCTTGCAGGCAGCGTACCATAACAATCACTGAACTAGCATTCAAGTATTTTTGGTCACTCATTGTACTTGTTATTTCTTTAAACGGCCGTAAAATTTGGGAAAGTTGAGAACAAATAATCCAGTGTTCTTTATTTAGATTAGGTTTAAGTCTAAGTCTGTATTATTTAATACCAATGTGGAACGGGTTGCCTCTTCTAACTCGGTCATTCTTTTTAACATGTAATAGGTGAAGTTCTTCCTAGTTTCCACGTCTTGGATTGGCCGTTTGGGAACTGTGTTCTGTTGTAATTAATACTTTAAAAGCCTTTCTGAAGATAAGGTACTTTTTTGAAATGTGTTTTTTGCAGAATTGTCGAAAAAAGGACTTTTTATTTTATCTATTTGTACACGACAGCATTTAAGTGCGTCCCCCACCAATAAATTTAATCATCATCATAAATCACAATCATCATAAAACAAAACATATTTAATAGCTTTGACCATATTTTAGGAATTATCAGTTACTGCAAAATTTACTTTTCGTTTTAGACCCGACTGATTAATGATTTCAGTAATCGCTGTTTTCTGGATTATGGTTTCCAGAAAAATGGCAGCAGCCTAATAAAAAAGTTTTGAATACTAAATTTTCGGTTAAATATTGTCCTGTTAATGCGAAGTAACTCTCAGTTACTCCAGATGTCCAGAGGTCAGTAGTAATACAGATATTTTCTACTTCTTTAACAACTTGCGATCTAATAATTTGCTCACTTTTGACATAACATTCCTGAAGTAATGAACCTGACAAAGTTTTTCTTGTTGGCGGTTTATATCCAGGAATCCACCCTGCAAACTTTTTAAAAGCTGGTTCTTTAACTATGGAAAACGGATGAAACGAAAAGTTTAGTAAATCTTGAAAATCAATCAGTCCAAGAAAAAGAAACTGATAAAGATGACTTAAGTCCATGGTGTATTTTTGATGAATTAATTGGACATGACTCATCTAAACATACACCTGTATCGAGAGGTATAAAAGAAGTCGACATGTAATTGTCTGATGATATATTACCCACAAACAATTTCGAACGGAGATTGTCCATTACCGTGGTGAAAAAACCATCGCCATGTATATCGTAACTTAACCACTATATTCATAAAATGTTGTAGTATTGTAACAAAATCTTTTCCTTGTGAACACATGTTTAACATCTGGTATAATTTTAAATAAAAGAAGAACGCGATTAACAAGAAAAGTGGAAAAACTTATGTTTTTAAATGTCAATTTAGACGATTCGCGATTTAATAATGTGTAATGTAAATGTAACTATTTAAGTACCATTTTTATTATTTAATTTATTTTTCAAGTTACAATAAATATATCCTTCGTTAGGTTCTTTTATTTCAATACTTATACACATAAACGATAATAGCTAATATGTTTGTGTACTCGCTAATTTGAATACTGGTAAACAATCAACTAGTTACAGTTTACGAAAAACGGTTCCGATAAAAATTAAAAAAACGAGAAGACCCACCTCTAGTTTTTTAGGTATATTAGGATCGGAACCAGAGAATATCTGATCGGAACTAATCGTCTCACCAATGGGCAATGGCCAATGAGTGTTAAAAGGATTTTAAGAGGGGAGACGAAGGGGAAATATGATTGTTATCTTTGTCTAATTCGTTGAAAATATGATTTTATATCTGCGTTAGATATCCTGTTAAATTTTACCATACCGACCTTAAAATTTTACCTACACTGTATATATATATAATATATATATATATATATATATATATATATATATATGGATCAGACGATATTAATAAATATTTAATTAAGTCATAATTGCTTAGGTGTCAATTCATTGTATGCCTCAATCTGACTCCTCTTATTTCTCTATTTTTAGCCTCCGAAGTGTCTTATTATATTAGTGAATATTTTATTATGTCTGCTCAGTATACTTTGTGAATAGTCACTGGCACGTTATACCATGGGTACTAAACTAAAATATAGTTGAATAATCTTTATACAGTAGTTCTGTAATTTAACAGAGTCGATCTCATAATCAGACGCAGATCTTATAACCAGACGCAACAGCTGCAAGAATCGTCCCAAAATTATGAATGAGCCCTTAATTTAGCTTAGTGATGCGTGCTGTGGTGGTATAATTATAAAAAATGCGTCTTTCCTCGTTTTAAACATTTATTTTTTATTGTGTCCTCTTACTTACCACTTACAAAAATCTTCTTCCGCTTTATAAGCAATTTCGCTTGTTTCATTGGCGGATTAATACCTCTATGGAAGGTTGTCACTCCATATTTTGCACGGTCGTCCGATACTTCTTCTGTCGATTGGTGACTTATCTCTTGCTATTTTGACGACACGGGTCTCCTCCATTCTGCTCATGTGGTTATTCCATTCTTTTTTCTATTTTGTGTCCATTTATTTATACACTGTACGTTACATTTTCTTTTAATGTCTTCACTTCTCTTTCGATCTGTAAGCGTATTTAATGTAACTCTTCTCAGTACTCTCATATCTGCCGTTTCCAGTTGCCTTTGCATTGTGGCTGTGTCGGGTCTTGTTTCTGAGGCATATGCCATTATTGGTCTTGCACTGGCTTTATAAATTCTTGATTTCAACTCAGTGTTAATGTGTTTGTTTCGCCATATAGTGTTATTAAGGCATCCTGCCATTCTATTTACTTTTTGTACTTGATTTCTCACTTCTTTGTCCAGGTCTCCATAGCTAGACAGTGTAATTCACAGGTATTTTATTTCCATTACTTGTTCAATACTAATGCCATCAATTTCTATTTTACATCTGGTTGGTTCTTTGCTGACCACTATTGTTTTAGTTTTTTGAGATGAGATTGTCATATTAAATTCTTTTGCTCTTGTTAAATATGTGGACCAGTCTTTGCAGACTATCTTTATCTTGGGCTATCAATATTGCGTCATCTGCGTTACAGAGTATTTTGATTTCTTTGTTTCCCATTCTGTATTCTCTTCCTTTGTTAACGCTTTTGATAATTTCATCCATGATCAAATTGAAGAGCATAGGTCTCAATGAATCCCCTTGTCTCATTCTACTACCTATTTCTATAAGTTCTGTAAGTTGTCCATCTATTCTAACTATACAGCCAGGTTAGCACCCTACTGATAGACTTTAAAACCATACAGGTCATAGAAACAGGATTATGCCTCGGAACAAGCAAAATCTTGACGATAACTAATATTTAAAAGGCATTCCATCATACGATTGTAGGCATGTAAGCTAGATATTCCAAACTGGTACATATTATCGTATGGCTCTTTTGTTATTAATGTTGTATTTATGTATTTATTTCTTTAGATGTTGCCTTACAGATAAAACATATTTCAGTTGATTTATTATCACGTAACACATTGCACACTTTACCATCAATCTTTGTCAAAATAATTTATGCATGACCAAGATGGTAATGCTCTCGAACATCTGTAAGAGTAGGAACCAATTCTTGAATTTCCTTTTCAATCGCTCTACATTCGTTTTTTACCAGTGCTTCGCTTTGTGATGTTTGTTACGGTGGTATATTGATAACCTGGTATACCAATTGATGTAATTTTGCCTATAACCCTATTATAAGTGCTTGCGTTGTCCAGTAAAGCTGTATAGTGCAAGGCAATTATTGCTGTAGTTGCTTCGTTAAATAATCAATCTGAATACTTTTCACATCTCTAAAATCAGTCGCTATTCCCTTTCCAGCCGATCACGTGAGCTTGATCAGTGGGTCTTCGCCGTTTTTCTCCATTTCTTTGACTGTTCCTTTATCTCTAACGTGTAGCAATGGACCCATGTTCTATAAACTGTGATATGTCTGTGAAAAATCTTTTCACATTTTTTAATTATTAAAATGAAAACTGTATTATGTAGTATCATAAACCAGCTTATTATTTTTGTTTTAGGGTATGTTCTTTAAGGATTCCAACAGTTTAGCATACTACAACGTGACTACTGGTTCAATCATTCAGCTACAGATTAAGGAGAGAGGAGGAAGGAAAAAATAATATGAATTATATTTATTTAGTTATTAACCTCAGTGTATATGAAAAATAAATTCAATCAAATAATAAATCTTTTTTTCTCCGCAATCCTTATAGCCTTCAGGTATGCATGAGTAAATAAGACATAAATAAATTAAGTATGGTTCCGATTATACATACACGTAATAAAATATGTAGGGAAACTCATAAACTAACGAAATCTTTTTGGGTTTTTGTCAACGGATGATCATAAGTTACGATGAACATATCAAAATAACTTTTTATCTTGCAAAATTAGCCGCCATTTTTTTTTATTTTTAATATTTTTGTACCAAAATTTCAGATAATACTATTGCAATGTTAAAAAAAATTTTATAATTTGTTTAAAATATTAAAGATAAACCTAAACGCGAGGTATCAAAGAAAAAGTAAAATAAAGTTAGCGCGAGTTACAGTACTCTCGTAATGAGTGGAAATATAACTATTGACAATAATACCATACAACAAACAGACACTTACAAATATCTGGGACACGAAATCAAAATAAGCAGAGACAATCAAACACATGAAATACAGAGGCGAATAGGGCTAACTTGGGCAGCATTTGGCAAATTAAGCCATATTCTAAAAAGTTCAATTCCCATGTGTCTCAAGCGAAAGGTTTATAACCAATGTGTTTTACCTGTACAAACTTATGGAGCAGAGACTTTAACACTCACGCAAAAATCTGCGAATAAATTCAGAGTTACACAACCAGCCATGGAACGTGTAATGATGAACGTGAGCCTTCGAGACCACGTAACAGACCAACAAATTAGGCAAAGATCAGGAGTTCAAGACGTCATCAAAGAACCACGTCGCTTAAGTGGAACTGGACAGGGCACTTAGCCAGAGCACAAGATGGACGGTGGACAAGACGTATTATGGAATGGAGGCCCAAAAACTATAAAGAAGCCGAGGACCACCACCGACTAGATGGACCGATGATATAAAACGTGTAGCGGGAAACTACAAGCTGGGCTACAAGCGGCCCAGTGTAGAGAACATTGGAAACAACTGAGGGAGGCCTATGTCCAGCAGTGGACGCGATTTTCTGATTGATGAGTTACAGTACAATGACCGCTACCATCCAGTAAATTCTACCACGTGGATTCCACACGGGACTACCGCTCGATCATTCTGGACTGAATTGCGACGTATTAGACTGCAAGATATTTTCAGTCTGATTTATAATTTAGTCTGATTTAAATTTATTGTTTTGTTACTAAAATCTTTGTAAGTCGAAAATAAAAGTTTTATTTGTGAAGTTCAGTTTTTAAAAAAGTGTTTTTCCCAAGAACATTCATAATTGGCGCAGAGTGGAAGAGTCTTTGTAGATCCTCGTCACTTTTAAGTGTTTGTCCACTGTTCCAAGAACCAGCCTAAGGGAAACCGTCTGCAGAGTTCACCCGAGGGAATTAGAAGTTAGAAGCCTTCAGGAGCAAAGGAATGCACATCGGCATCGTCTTTATCCTGTAAGCAATTTTTATTATTACTTAGCATTAAGAAGATTAAATTTTGAAAGAATTTTTATAAAATCAGACTCCTCTGAGTCCTTAGATTGAATCAGGGTTAGATTAGAAGATAAATTAAACAAAGATTTGAATTGATTAACAGAAAGATCAAAATAATTTAAAAATATCTCCTCTAAGTCCTTAGATTGACTTTAGAGTCAGATTCAGAAACTTCAGAATTTAGAGACAAAATTTGAATAGCTTAATAAATACTAGATTAATAGATAGAAAATAAGTAAATTAAGACTGATATATTTATATATTCACTATTGAAAATTACTATACTGATTTGACTATTGACTATTATATTGAAATTTTTAAAATATGACAGTTCCACAATTTGACGTTAAAAATTTATGCATTCTTAAATATTTTGACGGAAATCCAAATGAATTACATGAATTTATTAAAGTTTCTACAATACTTCTGAACCATTATTATGACAGACTTAATGCAGCTAATATACAAAACAAATTTTTGCTTCATGGTATTATCAGTAAATTAACAGGTAGAACCAAAGAAATCTGTATATGGATGCGAAAGTTGGGACGAAATAAAAAACGCATTAATTCAAAATTTTGGAGACCAGAGAGACGAAAATTCGCTTACAAGGGATCTAGTAAATTTAAGACAATTTTTCCATCAACAAGCTCTTACAACATTCTTAGCAGGCCTACGAGAACCAATGGGCTCTGTTATCAGAGCAATGACACCAGGAAGTTTAGCCGCGAAAATTATCAAGAACGCCGACCTCAGAGACAGCAGATGCCTGTACCTATCCAGAAACCATTGTATCAACAGCCAAATTTTGCAGCTCCGAAATGGCAGCGACCAACGAGACAATTCCATCCGCAGAATCAGTTCCAGCAACCACATCGGCAACAAAACTTCAACCAATTTAGACAAAATTCGAACCCTCCAACATTCAGGACCCATAACCAGTCAAATGTATGGGCACCCAAACCTGGACAGTCAAAGCAGCCTAGACCAACACCTATGAGTGGAATATCAGAAACCACAACCAGAGCCGTCAAAATTTCACACCAAATTACCGAGCACAGCCAAAATTCACCGTAGAAGAACTTTACAATATATAATGCCATGGAGATGAGCAAGAAGACAATTCCAACTATAATGATTACTACGAACCTGAATACGACAATTTTCTACAAGATACATACGAAAACCAACCAACCGATTATGAAGAAAACGTAAAATTTCGAGAGGACCCACCAGAAGCAATCGGAACGTAATTAAACTCCATTCATTTCCCGATAAGAAGGAGCTACCCTAAACCGAAATTTCTAAGTCTTCTTTACAACTTTTAATCGATACAGGATCCACAAAGTCATTTCTTAATCCAGAAGTAGCTCTTTCATATTTTCCAAGTTATATAAAACATGAACCCTTTGTCGTCACATAAATTTTTCAAAATTATTCTCAAAAATATTGTGCCGAAATTCCTTCATTTTTAGAAATTAATTCTTGAAGTTTCACAAAACTTTTGATGGTCTTATTGGCCTCAACAATCTAAAACTCTTCGAAGCCCAATTAAACTTTCCCAAGTCGCTTCTAGTTACAAAAGATTCTACAATCCCAATTAAATACTACAAAACAAATAAAACACAATTTTATTCCATTCATTTGGAACCAAATTCTATTAGGAACCATCATTATTCTAACCCAAAAAGTGCAAGGCGTCGTAGTACGAGAAGCCCTTACTAACGCCGAGAACCACCTCGCCTGGACCGAAATTGCCAACTTCACGTCAGATCCCATTCATCTTTCTCTTATGGAACCACTCGAAAGCAAGAAAATAGACATTCAAGATTTCCATATATATTCCATGGAAACAACCTCCGGACCAGACTGCAGACAAGATATCGACAACTTAATTAAAACCGAACATCTTAACGAAGAAGAAGAGGAACAAGTTCGCCACCTATGCCGAAAATTCTCCGATATATTTCACCAACCAGACACTCCTCTCAGCTTTACTAACGAAGTTAAACATCACATCAGAACCAAGGATGAAGAGCCTGTATATACGAAATCGTACCGTTATCCGTATGTACACAAAAAAGAAGCAAAGAAACAAATCTCTTCAATGCAAGGGATAATTCGACCAAGTCAATCGCCATGGTCTTCGAACATTTGGGTCGTGGCAAAGAAACCAGATTTATCCGGTAAAATAAAGTGGAGGATAGTGGTAGATTATAGAAAGGTCAACAAGAAGACAATTGACGACCGATACAGAATTCCTCACATTAGCGATATTTTGGACAAATTCGGAAGATGTCAATATTTTACGATCCTCGACTTAGCCAGCGGATTTCACCAAATCGAAATGGCCGAAGAAGACATTATCAAAACAGCATTTAATGTGGAAAATGGACACTATGAATATTTAAGAATGCCATTTGGACTTAAGAACGCTCCGTCCACGTTCCAACGTATGATGGACAACGTATTGAAGGTACTTCAAGGAGAAATATGACGTAATAGTATATTCAACATCACTACAGGAACACATAGTAAATCTCACAAAAGTATTTCAACGACTAAGAGAAGCCCGACCGAAACCAAAAAACTGCGAAAAGCCATTATCGGATTTACACGAATATCAGATAGAATTTGCACCATAAGATTTAAAGGTAAATTTCATAACGTGACAATGGTTAATGTATATGCACCGACGGAAGAAGCCGATGAAGACGTTGAAAGATTCTACGGAAAACTACAGGATGTATGTGATAAAATCCAAAGACACGATGCTGTTATAACGTTAGGCGATTTTAATGCTAAACTGGAGAAAGAAGAAACGTTTGCAAATATATTTGGGAAACACAGTTTGCACACTGAAACCAGTCAAAATGGACTCAGGGTGGCACAGTTCGCAGCAGCAAATAATTACGTAGTTGTCAGTACTAACTTCCAGAGAAAAGATATTCATAAAGGAACATGGAAAGTACATAACTAATGTTATATAAGATAACTGATAACCAAGTTGACATAACTAATGTCAGAACGTATCGCGGGGCGAACTCTGACTCAGATCACTATCTTGTAGGGGCAAAATTACGGCAGAAAATAGCGAAAGTAGCAAAAGGGAAAAATATTCAAATCAAAAAATGGAATGTCGAAGGATTCAAAAGCGCAACAAAGAGACAAGATTACAGAAATGCTCTCCAAATAAAACTCAACCGAACTAGAGAGGAAGATACTGCAGAGGAGGAATGGAGACAATTAAAAACAATTATAACGGAGTCAACAGAGGAAACTATCGGAAAAGCCAAAAGGCAAAGAAATGCGGAATGGTATGATGATGAATGCAGAACTGCAGTAGAGGAAAAAAGGCAAGCTAGGCTTAACCAACTTCAAAGAAACACAAGAAATAGCAGTGAGATTTATTATGAAAAAAGAATACAGGCGACTAGAATATGCAGAAGAAAGAAAAGAGAGGCTATGAAAAAACAAGTACAAGAAATCGTAAAGCATAACAACAGACGCGAAAGCAGAAAATTCTATAAAT